AGCAGAGGTATGGTTGTAGTGCAGATGACTCTATCAGATACGAAGGGAAGGTGAATAGACTTCATTTGCTCGATAGGAAGATCGAGGACTGTCAACTCTTCAATGCTAATGTCAAGGTTTGGGTGATAGTATGTGTTCACGCGCATCTACGAAGTTTACAGGACGCAGTAAATTGCTGCATAGCCCCTGGGAAATCTGGAAAGTGAGAGAAAAAAATTTCGTAAAATTGATAATTTTATTTTTTTGGTAGACTAGCGCTGGTCGTGGCGATGCCATGCTGTAATAACTACTCTACGATGCTTCTCGATTGCAAGAAGAACGAGCTCGGGCCGATGGAAGAATATAAGGACTGGGGAATCATGTCGCCTCATAGGCTCATTCGAGTTTGGATGGCTTCCGAGTATGTGGTGAAGTCTACTGCTGCGAGCACTGTAGTGGACGAGAGTTTGCGGACCAGCACTGCGAGGAGTAAAGGAGGATCAGTAAGAGCACAGAGGAGCAGAAAGCGTCGAGAGCAGGAACAGTTGGGCGCTACGTATTCGGCGTGATAAACGTTAATAGAAACATGAAGTATGCTTTTTGTTGTCAATTCGAAGTGGCTTGAACGGGGAGGTGGTGTTGTTTGTCTTTAAAGAGATTATATACTACTTAGATTATATACTACTACTACTTATATTATATACTACTACTTATATTATATACTACTACTTATATTATATACTACTACTTAGATTATATACTACTACTTATATTATATACTACTACTTGGATTATATACTACTACTTATATTATATACTACTACTTATATTATATACTACTACTTATATTATATACTACTACTTGGATTATATACTACTACTTATATTATATACTACTACTTAGATTATATACTACTACTTATATTATATACTACTACTTATATTATATACTACTACTTATATTATATACTACTACTTATATTATATACTACTACTTATATTATATACTACTACTTATATTATATACTACTACTTAGATTATATACTACTACTACTACTACTTATATTATATACTACTACTTATATTATATACTACTACTTATATTATATACTACTACTTGGATTATATACTACTACTTATATTATATACTACTACTTAGATTATATACTACTACTTATATTATATACTACTACTTATATTATATACTACTACTTATATTATATACTACTACTTATATTATATACTACTACTTAGATTACATACTACTACTTATATTATATACTACTACTTATATTATATACTACTACTTAGATTACATACTACTACTTATATTATATACTACTACTTATATTATATACTACTACTTATATTATATACTACTACTTAGATTATATAATACTACTTATATTATATACTACTACTTAGATTATATACTACTACTTATATTATATACTACTACTTAGATTACATACTACTACTTATATTATATACTACTACTTATATTATATACTACTACTTAGATTACATACTACTACTTATATTATATACTACTACTTGTATTATATACTACTACTTATATTATATACTACTACTTATATTATATACTACTACTACTTATATTATATACTACTACTTATATTATATACTACTACTTATATTATATACTACTACTACTTATATTATATACTACTTTTATTATATACTACTACTTAT